ATTTGAAGAAGAAACCAAGTGAATCCTTCAGAGAATACGCCATAAGATGGATGTCTGAAGCGGCGAGGGCCAGACCCCTTATGGAGGAATCTCAAATGAAAGACTATTTCATCCGTGCCCAAGAACCACAATACTATGACCGAATGATGCTGGTGGCTGAAAAGAGTTCCGCTGAAATCATCAAACTAGGCGAAAGAATTGAAGAAGGCATAAAGAATGGGACTATCATCAACTTGGAGGCTTTACAAGCAACCAACAAGGCTCTGCAATCTGGTGGAATGACAGAAAGTTGAATGAAAACAGGTTCTGTAATGATGGCTCATGGAACTAGGACCCCTTTGAGGCACAGGACAATAAACACACCACCATCCCCATACCCTCACACCCATACCCTCAACATCCCTCAGCTCCACCCCCTATATCTCCCCAACCCATGCCAATATATTACCAAAACGCTCCTCCTCAATATTTACATACCTCATATCCTGTCTATAATGTTCAACCAATACACTTCCAAACTCCACCACCCACTAAAACACCAATTTACTGAAACAGACCTTCCTATGAAAGTAGACCTACAAAAATCTATACCCCTTTGGCTGAACCCATAACACAACTTTATGAGAGACTGAAACAGGCTGGGTACGTCTCCCCAATTCCTGCATTACCTGTGGATGTTCGCGCAAAATGGTACGACCATAACAATGTCTGCGCCTACCATTCTGGGATGAAAGGCCACACCACCGAAGTTTGCAGAGCCCTTAAGGATAAGGTTCAAATGTTGATTGATACAAAAACCATCCAACTCAAGGATCCTACACCGAATGTTGCGAATAATCCTCTTCCTAACCATCAAGTCAACTGGTGGAAGCTGGTGATTTCTGGGATTGGGAAGAATCTATCTGGGCCATCGAAACAGAAGAAGCCATGTCTACCACTGCCCAAGGACCACTAATAGTGCAAGGAATTGCCCCATTTGAAGTAGAAGTTGCTGCACCCAGACCACCGTTCACTGTCTATAGAGCATCCTCCCCAATATAATGCGATACACATGATATGCCTTGGTATTACAACAAAAGAGAAATGAATGTGGAAGAGACGGATGTTGCAACAGGGGTCACCAGATCTGGAAGAATTTACACTTCTGAAAATTTGGTCCAGGGAAGCTCTAGCAAATCCAAAGCACCAGTCGTAGAGCTTGAAGATCAACGTATTTGGAAAAAGGTTAAAGCTAAAGAATACTCTGTCATTGAGCAGCTGAGTAAAACCTCATCCCAAATATCAATTCTGGAGTTACTGCAATCTTCCGAAACTCATCGAAATGCCCTTCTGAAGATCTTTGGTGAAGCTTATGTCCCATCTAACATCACTCATGGAGAGGTATCTCCAATGGTGGGATAGGTCTTTGAGGCTTACAAAATATCTTTTCACAAAGATGAGCTGCCACTCGAAGGAACAACTCACAATAAAGCTCTGTACATTTCGGTTCAGTATCAGAATAAGGTGATAAACAAAGCATTAGTTGATGCAGGTTCAGGTTTAAACATTTGCCCTCTGAGCACACTGACGAGGCTGGGCGTGGATAGTGCAAAAATTCTGACATGAAAGATGAATGTGAGGGCATTTGATGGCTCTCAAAGAGGCACTATTGGGGAGATAACCTTGGACATGCTCATTGGTCCTGTCACTTTCCCCATAGCTTTCCAAATTTTGGACATCCCTTCATCGTACAACTTATTGTTGGGTCGTCCATGGATTCATATCGCTGGAGCGGTTCCATCTACTCTTCACCAATGCCTGAAGTTTGAATGGGATTACGAAGAGGTTGTAGTCCATGGAGAAAAGGGGCATCCTGTATACACGATTGAAGGAAGAGAGAATATGGATGGTGAAATGTACCATATAGTGGAGCTTGTTGGTAATATTGAGTTGCAACCTTGGTTCAGCCAAAAAATCATAGATATGATGGCTTGGTTTGGTTTCGAGCTTGGGAAAGGTTTGGGGGCTGAATTGCAAGGGATAGTCGAACCTATACAACTTGTTCGACATTCCACCACTTTTGGTTTGGGATATAAGTACACTACCAAAGAATGGCTTGATTGGAAACCACCTAGAGATGGGTACTACTATCCATTGAAGAAACCCATACCGCCATTATATCAATCATTTCGATCAGCAGGTTTCATGGGAGGCAGTATTGATGAGATCTCTGACGACTTAAAGGGGTTAGCGCTAACCAAAGAAGAGGGGAAAGTTTGCAACGTCGTGATCAATGAGGAGGAGAATGGGGGCCCTAGTGGAAGCAAGGAAGCAAAGATCAGCGTCAACAACTGGACCTCGACTCCATCCAGACCTCGTCGAGCATCTGGGTAGCCTTGGAAGATGTTTTTCTATCAAGTTTTAATTCAAATAAAAAGAGTTTTTAATAAACGTTTTAATTCCCACCCCCTGTATTGCTTTCGAATGAGGACTTATGAAATTTTCAAATCTTTATCAATAAAGTTCTTTTCCACATTTTTGCCTTATATTTAATTGTTCACTATTTTTTTTCTCACTAGCAAAATTCACTATAAAAATGTCGAATCTGAGACTATGGCATACAATGAGACTGCTCAACTTAACATTAATGACTTAGAAGAAGTCGAAGACGGTGAGGTTCCCAAGGAGTTAATCAAAAGGGTTGAGGAATTTGAGGAAAAACCCAATCCAAACTTGGTAGAGACAGAAGTGGTGAATTTGGAAAATGCAGAGGTGATACAAGAAACCCGAGTAAGCATCCATATGACAAAAGAAGAAAGAAAGAGTATACCGAGTTTCTCATAGAGAACAAGGATATTTTCACGTGGTCCTACGCAGACATGACAGAGCTAAGTACTTCAATCGTAGCCCATCGACTGCCCACTGATCCAGCATGTCCTCCGGTAAAACAGAAGCTGAGAAAATACAAGCCCGAGATGAGTCTGAAAATCAAAAAAGAAGTATCAAAGCAATTAGATGCTGGGATACTCCAAGTGACAGAATACCCAACTTGGCTTGCAAATGTCGTTCTAATGCCCAAGAAAGACGGGAAGGTCAGAGTTTGCGTGGATTACCGAGATCTTAATAAAGCTAGCCCTAGAGATAACTTTCCCTTACCAAACATACACATGCTGATTGACAATTGTGCTAAGCACGAAACTCAGTCATTTGTGGACTGCTTTGCCGTCTATCATCAAATTGAGATGCACAAAGACGACGCTGAGAAAACTGCCTTCATCACGTCGTGGGGCGTTTATAACTACAAGGTGATGCCTTTTGGATTAAAAAACGTTGAGGCTACGTACATGAGGGCGATGACTACTTTGTTTCATGACATGATCCATAAGGAAATTGAATTTTATGTGGATGATGTCATCATCAAATCAAAGTAAAGTTCAAATCATTTAGAGGATTTACGAAAATTCTTTGCCAGGCTACGCAAGTACAAATCTGAAACTGAATCCGGCAAAATGTGTCTTTGGTGTGCCTGCTGGAAAGCCTTTAGGTTTCATTGTTAGTCGTCGAGGTATATAATTGGACCCATCGAAGATCAAATCCATTCGTGATCTTCCCCCGCCAAAGAGCAAGAAGGAGGTAATGAGTTTCTTAGGGCGACTTAACTACATTAGTTGTTTCATAGCCCAGTCTACTGTCATCTGTGAACCTATCTTCAAGCTGTTAAAAAAGGATGCTGCGGTGAAATGGACAAGTGAATGTCAACAGGCATTTGACAAGATCAAAGACTATCTATCCAATCCTCCTGTATTGGTTCCACCAGAGTCAGGTAGACCCATTACTTTTGTATATTTCCGTATTGGATAATGTTTTCAGTTGCATCTTGGGACAACACGATGAAACAAGGAGGAAGGAGCAGGAAATATATTATATGAGCAAGAAGTTCACATCGTGCGAAGCTCGATATCTCTATTAGAGCATACATGTTGTGCTCTAACATGGGTTGCCCAAAAGTTACGACATTACCTCTCATCGCATACTAATTATTTGATTTCAAGGATGGATCCTTTGAAGTATATCTTTCAAAAGCCCATGCCCACATGTAAACTGGAAAAATGGCAGATATTATTGAGCGATTTTGACATAGTGTATGTCACGCAAAAGGCAGTGAAAGCACAGGCATTAGCAGACCACATGGCAGAGAATCTCGTGGACGATGATTACAGGCCGTTGAAGACCTACTTCCCAGTTGAAGAGGTGGCCTTTGTGGGAGAGGACATTTCTGAAGAATATGATGGATGGAGAATGTTCTTTGATGGAGCTAAAAATCTGAATGGATCCGGCATCGGGGCTGTTTTGATTTAACCCACCGGGCAACATTATCCAGTATCAACAAAACTCAGATTCCTTTGCTCAAATAATATGGCCGAATACGAAGCCTGCATACTAGGTCTCCGATGGGCGATTGACTTGGATGTCCAGGAAATGCTAATAATAGGGGATTCAGACCTATTGATCCATCAGGTTCGAGGTGATTGGCAACAAAAAATCAAAAGTTGTTACCATATTTGGAGTGCGTGCGTAGGCTATGTAAAAGTTTTGTCAAAACATAATTTATACATGTACCAAGGGTCCAAAATGAATTCGCAGATGCCTTAGCCACTCTGTCTTCTATGATTCGACACCCTGATCACAATTACATCGATCCTATTCACATTCACATACATGAACAACCAACTTATTGTTTCCATGTTGAGGAAGAGCCTGATGGAAAGCCCTGGTACGATGACATTAGAGGATATTTGAAGATGCAACAAGTGTACAAAAGCGTACAATTCGAAGGTTAGCAACCCAATTCTTTTTAAGTGGGGAAATCTTTTATAGGAGAACTCCCGATTTGTGGCCCTCACATGAACGGTTTTACATTAGCAAAGAAGATTCTGAGATCAGGATATTATTGGCTAACTATGGAGACAGACTGCATTCGCTACGTCTAGAAATGTCGTCGATGTCAGACTCACGCAGATATGATCCGAGTACCTCCTAATGAACTCCATGTCACTAGTTCACCTTGGCCGTTCGCAGCACGGGGCATGGATTTCATTGGTCCAATCGAGCCAACAGCATCCAACGGGCACAGATTCATTCTTGTCGCAATTGACTATTTCACCAAGTGGGTTGAGGCCACCTTCCATAAATCAGTGACAAAGAAAATTGTGGATGACTTTGTCAAAAATAACATTATTTGTAGGTTTGGAATTCCTGAGTCAATCATCACCGACAACGGCACCAACCTAAACAGTGACCTAATGAGATCAATGTGTGAGAAGTTCAAGATTAGTCATCGAAACTCTACAGCATACAGGCCACAGATGAACGGGGCTGTTGAGGCAGCAAACAAGAACATCAAAAGGATATTGCTCAAGATGATCGATAATCACAAACACTGGCAGGAAAAGCTACATTTCACATTGCTGGGTTATCGTACCACAATCAGAACATCCACAGGGGCCACACCTTACTTCTTAGTATACGGCACTGAAGCTGTGATACCCGCCGAAGTAGACATACCTTCCCTAAGGATCATCCAAGAAGCAAAGTTGAGTGATGCTGACTGGATACAAGGTCGGGCAGAGAATCTGGCATTAATAGATGGAAGAAGAATTAACGCCATTTGTCATGGTTAGCTCTATCAGAATAGAATGGCCAGAGCTTTCAACAAGAAGGTTAAACCCAGACATTTCTCACCTGGGCAACTGGTTTTGAAGCGGATTTTTCCAAATCAAGACGAGGCAAAGGGTAAATTTTCACCAAACTGGCAAGGTCCATACATAGTCTCTCGAGTACTGACAGGCGGAGCCCTCATACTTGCAGAAATGGATGGAGAAGTTTTGCCAAATTCTATCAATTCAGATTCTGTAAAAAAGTATTACATCTAGAGATTGATTCATGCTCTTTTGTAATTTGGAACTACGTTAGACCTGATTCCCGTTTAAGAGGGGATACGTAGGTGCTTTTATGGGGTTCGGTCTTATTATAAATAAAACTTTCATTTTCCCCTTTTCTATTGATAACTGGGGCAGAATTTTTGAGAAATTCCATCAAAATTTCTCCCGGCACATCTTCATACTGGGGCAGAATTTTTGAGTAAACTCAAAAATTTCACCTAAAGTTTCTCCTCAACAAGCAGTGAGCTTACAACGAAGATCAAATGATAGCTCCATTTTTGAGTCAGACCTTATAAAGTCTCAACCTATGTCGTGGTCAAGGATTCGACATCAGTTTTTTTAAATGATGATTTCAAAATCTTTCAAAGTTTCCCCCCCCCCTTTTTTAAAAAAAAACAAAAAAAACACAGACGCTCGAAGAGGTATGGATGGCAAGCCAAAGGAGCACGTTGCGCCAAATCATGGATACAGATCAACCTCCCCCTTTTAAACTAACTATTTTTCTTTGAACGTAGAAAATACAGGTACATATACAAAGGCAACTTCAACAATTAACATTACCACACTTGAGCCCGACAAATGACACTCGATCCTTCCAATAAGGCGGACGCCCAAGCTATTGTATGCCCTCAAGCAACTGCTGTGCTGACAAATTACATTATGCCCGATATTGCATCATTTGCACCTACTCCTGATATCGCACTATGCTCAAAGAACTACATCATTATGTTATGCCCGAAAATGCCAAAAAATGCATCATTTCATGTGCTTGATATTGCATGTGCCCGAAGAAATGCATTATTGCATGTGCTCGAATTTGATGTGCCCAAAGAAATACATCATCGCATATGCCCAATATTGACTTATGCTCTAACAATTGCATTATTGCATGCACTCGATATTTTATGTGCCCGAAGAGATGCATCATTGCATGTGCCCGATATTGGATGTGCCCGAAGAAATGCATCATTACATATGCTCGATACTGCATGTGCCCAATATTATATTATGCCCGAAGAAGTGTATCATTGCATTGTGCTCGATATTGCATGTGCCCGAAGAAATGCATCATTGCATGTGCTCGATATTGCATGTATCCGAAGAAATACATCATCGCATATGCCCAATATTGACTTATGCTCAAAGAATTGCATTATTGCATGCGCTCGATATATTATGTGCCCGAAGAGATACATCACTGCATGTGCCCGATATTTGAGGTGCCCGAAGAAAGGCATCATTATATATGCTCGATACTGCATGTGGACGATATTACATTATGCCCGAAGAAGTGCATCATTGCATTGTGCTCGATATTGCATGTGCCCGAAGAAATGCATCATTGCATGTGCTCGATATTGCATGTGCCCGAAGAAATGCATCATCGCATTGTGCCCGAGACTGTATTGTGCCCAAAGTTTGCATAAGCCCAAGATTGCATCGTGCTCGAAGTTTACATGTGCCCGAATCAAATCAAGTCATAAGTATCAACAGATGTCAAAAGCAGATACGCTCTCTTTACTCATTATTTATATTCCAAAGGCGTCATCCTCCAATGGCGTCATCTTTCATGGCTTGCGGACTTCATGTCATGGCCTAAGGACTTATTTTATGCTTACCATGTCCCTAACGTATCATAGTCTAAAGTCATCATCCCCATGGTCTGCGGACATCATATCATGTCCTAAGGGTTTAATTTCTGTCTATCATGATCCGAAGGTGTCATAGTCTAAAGGCGTCATTTTCATGGCCTACAGAAAACATTTTTCATGACCTGAGGATATACCCTGCATATCATGGCCCTAGACATCATAGCATAAGACGTCTTTTTTCACGATCTTAAGGCAAACATTCATGGTCAACATGGGAATTCATCATGTTTACATTTACCATTTATTTTGATATATATGTTCTAATTACTCTATCTAAGTTATATTACAAGTTACAGATGTGCAGATTACAGATGAAACTACTTTCTGAATGGATGTTCTTGTTTACAAACAAAAGCCACGACAATTTCTTGACAACTCGCACTATCGTTTCGCTACTCATCTATCATTCAGTCTACCATGAAGATACTTTCGGATTCAACTCGCCACTGTGACCTACTGTCTCTTCATTTAGGCTCGTCCGCCTTACAATGCGACATCTAGGCTCGTCCGCCTTACAATAGGACATTTAGGATCGTCCGCCTTACAATGCGACATCTAGGCTCGTCCGCCTTACAATGCGACATCTAGGCTCGTCCGCCTTACAACGCGACATCTAGGCTCGTCCGCCTTACAATGCGACATCTAGGCTCGTCCGCCTTACAATAGGACATTTAGGCTCGCCTGCCTTAAAACGACATTTAGGTTTGTCCATCTAATAGGACATTTAGGTCGTCCACCTTAAAGGGACATTTAGGCTTGTCCTCCTCATAGGACATTTATGTTCGTCCGCTTTATAAGATATTTTGTTCGCTTTGTAAGATATTTAGGATGTCCGCCTTAAAACGACATTTAGGCTCGTCCGCCTTAAAATGACGTTTAGACTCCCCTTACAACCAACATTTCTCTTATATTATTATATCTTTATGGTATCAAATCGATTGGAGTTTGACGTTATTCTTCAGAGATGGGTTCAATCCTTTAAGAAGTTAAAGACTATCAAGGCTTGCGCTACGTCTCAAACAGATACGCTTTTTATCACTTCTTGTCTATTTAGAACTCATATTTTATTATTATTGGTCAATACTTTATCTATTTATAAGCTAACATTTATCTAGAATTTGCAGATATGATCGATCGCCCTTGATTACATTTTTCATGATATCATCTATCACAACAAAGACCCTATCAATTCTTTGCTTTTCATACTCCGAACCCTTGCTCAAATGCTGATAACCTCACTCTATGATGCTCTTCCTGCTTATCTGTCACGCTATTCTAGCCTCTCAATCTCTCTTTTCTCGCTACTCTATTCTTATCCATTCGAGCCGATATCGTGCCTTTCAAATACCTTAGCGCTCTTTCAATTTTTAAGAGTTTCATTTGCTCTTGAATCTAGAACTACACACGACCTGATTCTCGTATAACCAAAGATATGTAGGCGACTTAAAACCAAAGTCTCGGTCGTACCCTTTTCAACTCTATATCGTTTCAATTGATCCAACTGACATCTCTCGTCAGTCGGACAAAATCGGCTACTAAGTCAACGTTGGTTGCCTGACAATTCATTCTTCATTCTCAATCAACCAAGGGGCAGCTGTTGACACCCAATTTTGACCGACCTTTAACCATTTTTAGGATTATATTCGATTAAATACGTATTTTAAAATTTACTTAAAGTTTTGAAGTTTTAGTCGATTTTTCTCAAAAATTATATATTTTAGTATCGTTTACTTTATAAAATTATTATAAATATTATTATATTTTAAATTTTTTAATGAATTTCAAATGTTTAAAAAAATAGTGATAATTTTCAATTATTTTAATATATGTAGTATTTTAATTAAATAGTAATTTCTACACTTTCCCTAAATTTTAAATTCTAACCTATTCTGTCATAATTTTTTTCGATTCTAGCCACTTGAATTCGAGTTTATTCCAATTCTAGCCAAATTTTATTGCAATTTTAGCCATTTCATATCCAACCAAATCTGATTTTTAAATGTCATCTTTTAATCTCATTCGTCCATTTAAATAAGTAAATCCTAGATCGAATCCTAGTCATTTAAATCAACGATTATGATTAAATTCCCTTTTCTTCTTGATTTCAATACACTAAAAAATCAAAACCTAAAATTTTCTATCCTTCTCCCTCCCCTCTCCAGCCGCCTCCCTTCTCCCTTCTCTCTCCCTCTCCTCTATTTTTTCGGCGAGGGAGACAGCCGGACGAAACACCAGCAGCCGCTGGAAGCAGCAGCTTCCAGGCGCACCTCCCTTCTCTGCCCTCTCCCCCTTGTTCTCTTTTTCTCCCTTCTCTCTCCCCGTAGCAGCAGCTGCACGCAGCCAGCAGCCACCGACAAGAGGCAGCGCTACCCCGCTCTCCCGTCGTCCCCCTTCTCCCTCTTTCTCTCCTCTTCTTCGTTTCCCTCTCCTCTATGCATTCTTCTCCCTCTCCCTTCTTCTTTCTCCATTTCCCCCTTTCTCCGCCTCCCTTTTCTTCTTTCTCTCCTATGTTCACCTTTTCCCCTTCGCCCCTCTTCTTTTTATCTCCTTGCAGGACCACCGGCGACAACAACATCCAGGCGAGGCGACCAGCAGCTCCAAGTTGCAGCAGCAACTGCTCGAGACAGCAGCAGTAGCACACCACAATCAAGGACAGCCAGCAGTCGGCGCCACTCCATCACCCTCCGCCTCTCGTTCTTCTTCTTTTTGCAGGACTAGGAGCAGCAGCAGCAAAAACTCCGACAATCACTAGCAGCCTCCGACGGAAGCAACCAGCAGCGGCGGGACTACTCCGAGATGGCAAAAACTCCAGTAATTTTCCTGATTCTAATTAAGGATCCTCCCAGGTGAGTCACTTTAGTGTCTATTTTCTTGTTTTCGGATTGTGTAACTATTGCATAAAGAAACTCGACAATTCTTTGATTTCCGCTTACCTGTTCATATCCTTTTCTGTCAAGTTTAATCAAGTTTTGAGAACTTTGTTATCTATTTGTTTAAGATTGATTAGTGTTATTGCTTTCTAGTTCTTCATTATTGGTGGTGGTCCGTTAAATCTCTAATTTGAAAATTAGTCGAAGTAACTAATTG